AAAAGTAACTTTCCATTCTCTGGAAAAGGCTTACTATTGTCACCTTTTTTAATATATTTCTTTACTCGCACCATTAATTTCCAATTCTACAAAATCGAGATATACATGACAATTGGTTTCGAATTTAGAATTGGATTCGAACTTACTTCAATTATAAGTGAGCGTTCTCGCACAAAGCAACCCTGATAACATTTAACATATCTTTACATAAAATATGCTCATATGTATACATCTTAAAATAATTATCTAATATAAACACGTACATATTGTAAAACAGATACTGTGCATTATTTATATCAAATGAATTTCTTAGATATTACAAGTATTAAAAAATATAACATTTATGCAGAGCTGTATCTCATGTGCTTTTGTTTTTGTAGCCGAAACAGTTCAGGAACTCCGGGTTTGCTTGCAACAAGCAATCGACGCTATGCGCTCCACAGAAACTCCGGTCACCGCGATTGCCTCGGGAAGTGAATTGTTCCTCCGTTTTATCACATTAGCGACACTAGATACACCTGTAAGAATATTAACGTTTGAACTTTGTGTCTTGCATCCCTGAGAATAAATTCAGTCTTTGGAGTTTACTTCTTCTTTATCAAGATGATTCAATTTATTGTTTATATTTTTAATTAGTCCATCGCAGAATGCAAAGGAATCATGCTGGAAAGGGGCAAGGTGTTCTACGAGAAGTTAGTTGCAGCGCGAGGAAAGGTAGCCAAGGTGGCGGCGCACTTCATTACTGACGGCTCGGTAAGGGCAGAAGTGTAAGAATTATTTGAGATATTCCTGTTATTTTCTGATTTGCATCGGTATTATTTTTATCAGACTATACTCACGCATTCGAAATCAAGAGTGGTGCTGCAAGCGATGAAGGAAGCTGCTGCGAGTAATAAAATATTCGAAGTGTACGTCACGTCATCGTCACCTGACAATAGCGGGTAAGTGTGAAACTGTTTAATAAGATACATATCATTTGATTCCTGCGATTATAAGTTTTAATTTGTGCTGTTTTTTTTCCTTGAAATAGGGAAGAGATGTGCCAGAGTTTAACGAATTTGGGAATATCGTGTACGGTGATACTGGACTCTACAGTAGGATACGTGATGGAGCACGTAGACATGGTGATGGTTGGAGCGGAGGGTGTTGCGGAAAGCGGTGGTGTAATCAATAAGGTATACGATCATTCGATGGCGATGTATAATTCTTATAATCGATGTACGGGGCGTTCCAGATCTGTCGCATCACCTGCTAATGGCAAATTCTTAAAATCATTTGAGATAAAAATTAATTACAATTTCAAAGCATTGAGACTACAATTTTAGTTTTAGCACGAACAAGCAGTTGATTAAATAAGTAAAAAAAAGTTGAATAAAACATTCAAAATAAGTAAAAAAAGTTACGAATACATAAATTCAAAGTGCACGCTAATATTTATATTATTAATTATTTATATTATCAGTTTATATTAATATTTAAACATTAATATCTGTCTAAGGCCACCTTCGCTATGTAATATATGAATCTGAAGCGAATTTTAATCAAACTAATTGACCATCTTTAAAACGTTTGCCTTTTTTTGAAAACTCGGTAATCTCAACATTTTATTAGAATTTTTGTCTCTAAATGACTTTAAGAATTTGCCATTAACAGGTAGTGTGATAGGTCTGAAACCTCCTGTATAAGTATTTCTTCTAATATTTTTTACAGATAGGTACATATACAATGGCTATATGCGCGAAAGAGGTGAAGAAACCATTTTACGTATTGACAGAAAGCTTCAAATTTTCGAGAATCTATCCTTTGAATCAAATAGATTTACCTAATGAATTTAAGGTAAATTATATCTTTATACATTAATTTCAAATCAATCGTAACTTTTACGTAAAAAAAATGGATATATTTTCTCCGTCTATAAAATGCATCATTATTGTTGTAGTATACGTACAGCGTACTTTTAACCAAGAATTTAAAAAAGGAGCATCCGTTGGTAGATTATACTCCGCCTCACTACATCAGTCTGTTGTTCACGGACTTGGGAATTCTAACACCATCGGCCGTTAGTGACGAACTCATTAAATTGTACTTGTAATTTCGAGAATTTTGTTAATGAATTTTTTTTAATTCCGCGAGTATAATATAAAGTAGATAAATGTTTAAAAGTCAGTACATGAAACTTTCGTCTGCCTGAAAATGTAAAGACTTATTGTAAAATGAACCGTGGAGACGTCTGGTTGTATACTTTTGTAAAAGATCTAATCTTTATTAATTTATTATACAGCAATATTGAGTATTTATGTATAATATAGAAACAAAATAAATGTCTTTCATATAATTGCACATAAAAGATAACAAGTAATAAACTGTATCTATACGAGGATTACATTATGTTACAACACGTTAAAATGGACTTCTTTATTAAGAATTTTATGTAATCTACATACATGAAGATCCGCTTGTAATTGCGTGCAATGTGTAACATTAGTGTCGTATAAACAAAATTGCAAAAGAAAACAAACGTCTAAATTACAAGAATCTTGAATTATTAACTTTGGAAGGGTGCGAAACGCCCTTATAGCCGTTTAAATTTTATACACTTAAAACTACAAATGGATACATGCATTTACATATCATTTTCATCACGACGGTATATATTACACAGTAATTTATGAAAGTAATAGATTATCATCAGAGAAATGAGAAAAGTATTCTTATAATTAGGATATTGCAATATACTGCAAATTTTTAATTCTATTTTTTCTCCTTTTCCAATTGCTTATATAGGACTAAAGTGTTTTTTGGAGAGCCAGTCAATATTTTTCGTAATATTTTTCGCGGATGTTTCTTTCCAGTGAGATTCCATGTTACGAATTGTTAATTGATATACGATAACGCAATGGATATATTGTTTAAATACTTCCTATACACTTTTTAAAAATATACCGAAAATCTTTGATATTGAAAATTATATAGTTATGTAAAATCGTGATCGTATACTTTATGTACAAAAATTGATGTTTCTACTGTGTTTTTAACGTGAAAAAAAAAAAAACAAATTTACAATAAATACAGAAATCTAAGATACATCTGGATACGCGCACCTACATAATTTAACGTACATATGCTCATATGTACATCCGAGAAATACTACAATGTATTGAATAAATAAAGCCCACATTGCTACGTCGTAATCATAAATACGCAATGAGAGGTGCATTTCATTTCATGCATAATGCGTATGAATTGTCTTTTTATCCTTGTTTAACATTCAGTGAACAACAAGGATTTAAATGATATATTATCACTACGAGGATATTATTTTATCTTTGTTATTTACCGAATGTTAAATAAGGACAAAATGGTACATCTCATGTGCATCATATATGAAACGGAACACA